GGAGAAAATCCAGTCCGCCAGGTTTTGCTGACCCAGACCCTGCCCCCGGGGCATTTGCAAGGCTGTCTCCCCCACCTCACCTCGTGTGCCTTTCCCCCTCACGGCTGCCTGGCTCACTTCCTCTTCCTTCAGGGCTCTGCTCCAAATGCACTTTGTCAGAGAAACTCCCGTGACTACCAGGCTCAAGAAGCCTCAGCCCTGCCGCTGCACCTCACTGCTGGATCCCAGTGAACTGACGGGGAGCGCTGGGCCTGAGCGCATGTCCTGTGGACTCCCCAGCTAGGACAGGGGCCAAGGTGGCCTGACCAGCGCCTCCCGCCCGTGCATGATTCATCGTGAACGGCAGGCAGGGGAGGAAGGCGGGAGTGCAGGCTGAGAGCTTGCAGTCAGCCACAGCGCCGAGGGTACTCTGGGAGTCCTGTGGAAGATTCTGGCAGCAGCCAGCGGCCTCTGGGAAGTTGGCATGGGGGCTGCAAGGCCTGGTGGGGGTGGCGGGGTAAGGAGGGCTTGGGAGCAGACGGGATGAAGGCCACAGCCCCCATGGCTCCTGATGGCCCAAAGTAGGATCAGCAGAGGCCCCACCAGTCAGGCCCAGGGTGGGTGGGGGGTGAGGAAGCAGCTCCTAGCCCAGGTGGAGGCCACCCTGCCCCGGGTGGTGGCCACAGTACAGTGTCTAGGGCCCAGGGAAACTTTCCAGGCCCATCTGTTTGTATTTATTTATTTATTCAGTTTGGGTTTTTTGAGGCAGGATCTCATTACGTAGTCCAGGCTGGCCTTGAACTCACTGTGCAGTACAGGCTGGGCGCAAACTCCCAGTCCCGGCCGGCCTGTGCAGTCTCGAAGGCCAGACCCCACCTCCCAGTCTACCTGCACCGTGCACCCACCTGCCCCACCCGACCTGCCTTGGCACGTCTCATCTCGGCTTCGCTCCTGCCCAGCCTCTCGGTGCCCTCCCCACCCAGACCCCAGACGCGGCCAAGCTCCTGCTGGCCCAGGAGGACAGTGGCATCAGGACACGCTCAGCCTGGGCTGAGGCCCAGCTGCCGCACGCTCGGGCGTTCTCTGTAGCCAGAGAACCCACACCCCGCCAGTGCCAGTCACAGCATCCTGGCCGGCAGGCGAGCGCCAGGCCCACTGCCAGCACGAACAGTGAGGGGCACCGTGTAGCTTCTGCTCTAGGCTGGCTCTGGGTCAGGTCCACGGCAAGCTGCCGCTGCTGCAGCCCAGGCTTTGGGAACACAAGCGTCTACATGGTTCCCTTCCAGCTCCTCTGCTCCACTCCAAGCAGACCCACAGCACACCCCACTTCTCTCCCAGGCACAGAAGCTGGCTCCGTTAGCAGGGCAAACTGGCCGGCCCTACCCCAGAGCCCCCAGCACACCCTGCGCAGACTGGGAGGAGCCCTGGCCACGGCCCGGTGCCGCCTCTCGCTCTGCAGTGCCGCCTGGGGTGACCTCACACAGCCTCCTGTGCCACTGCTGCAGGGCGTTTTCTAACAGCTCACGCTTGGCCGAAAGACACTGCCTTTGTCCTGAAACAGAGCCAAGGCTGCTGGTGGGGGGGTGAGGGCTGTCGCTCTCCTTTTTAAATAAAGCACCGCCAAGTAAGAGAAAAGGAGAGTGCATGCTGGATCTCTTTAACACAAACAGATGAGATGTTCAAACTGCCCAGGCCAGGTCGGAGATGGGGAACGGGAGGGCACATCGGCCACACCTGCCTAGGCTCCAGGACAGACAGGGATAACCACACCCAACTGCACCTCACTGCGTCAAACACGCATCCCAGCCCTCCGCCTGCGTCTCCACAGGTTCTGCAGGTTCCCAGGGGGTAGAAGGGGCTGACTGCAGGCTCAGGAGGTGACCACACTGGAAGGCTGGGGTGACAGTCACAGCTCCCTGGCCACTGCGTGCCAGGCCCCGTGCTACACGTCCTACGAGCATTAACCCTCACAATAGCCGTCCCGTTTCCAGACAGGAGAGCAGAGGCACAGAGGGTCAGGGACCCGCCTCAGCTCCTCCCACTGGCAAAGCTTCCGCCTCCTCCCACCCTGCACCACCACACGGAAACTTCCAGACTGCAGACTCGTCAGGGCTCAGCCTGGCCACTAAGTCCCAGGAAAGCCACTCTCCTGACAGCACCCTGCTTTCCGTGCCGTGGGCTACAGGCCACAAGGCTCCCTCACAGGAGTGTCACAGCCACGCCCCCACAGAGCAGGCCGCACAAGGTGGCACATGCCTCTAATCCCAGCACCCAGAAGGACTCCAAGTTCGATCCCAGCCTGAACAACTTAACAGACACTGTCTGAAAATACCAAATGGGCAAGGGACGTAGCCCAGGGTGAAGGCCTGCGGTTCAGTCCCCTCAGAGATCTGCCCCAAGGCTCAGGACACCAACAAGGCTCAGGACTGAATGCCCAGCGGGGCTGGGGCCGATCCCACCCTTCCGGGAGCTGGGCCGGAAACCACATGGCGCTACCTGCAACTCGGCTTTGCTCTTCCTCGAACTTCTCCGGACTGGGTAGAAGTCCGTGAGTTTGCGATTCTGTTGCGTTTTCCCTTGAGCTCTGGGGGTGAAGGGAAGAGAAGAAAACAGGCATCAGGACCGAAGCCACACGCACACCGGGAGGTACCCAGTTCCTTGGGGGCAGCACGTGGAGACCAAGCCACTTAAACACTGTGGTGCCCTGGGGCCTGCTGGCACCTGCTCACCTGGGCAAGGGGGCCCGAGAGACACGGGGGGGGGGTTAACTCCGGCATGTGCCACACCGAGATGCTGACAAGCAACGGCACAGGGTGGCGCTGGGTCTGAGCCTTTCACCATGACAGAGGCCATGAATACGGCCTTGGAGCCCTGAGGGCAGCTGGGGGGCTTCCAGGGCCCATCGGAGCCACCCAAGTTGGGGGAAGCTGGGCCTCGGGGGCACTTACTTTTTCCGAGGCGCCTGTTTGCCCTTGAGAGGCTTTTTCAGGGCTTGCTTGGCGATGGCTGCATTGGTAGAATCACAAGACGAGGTTGGAGTTTTTGGAGGTTCTGCTACTTCAGATTTTTGGTTTGGAAAAGGTGCCAGGGGACCCTTCCTGGCGTCTTTGAGCTTCTGTTCCTCGGACTTCACAGCGCTTCGTATGGCACTCCCAGCATTTCTTTTCTCTGCAGCAGAAAGTAGGAAGAAAAGAGAGGCTTACTCTCCACCCCGCCCCTCAACTGGGAGACCGGCAGCAGCGTCCTAAGACAGGCCTAGGAGAGAGGATCATGGGAGTGTCGGGCAGCAGTGCCCTGGTTCTACTGAGTCACTGTTCAGGGCTGTCACAGCGCAAGTGCTGGGTCTGAATCTTTCTGCAATGTGTGGTACTGGAGATGGAACCCAGGGCTGCTCTAATACTGGACTATGTTTCCACCCCATTTTATGTTTTATTTTGAGACAGGGCTTTGTTAAATTCCCCAGGCTAGGCTTGAACTTGGGATCCTCCTGCCTCAGCCTCCCAAGATTACAGGTGTAATTACCACACCAGGCCTCACTTCAGATCCTTATCCAGACAAGCTCCCCTTCTAACAAGGTTAAAGCTGGCGTTCACAACAGTTCTCTGTATAGTGCCCGGGCATTGTGATGCCACTGTAAATGCTATGACTGATAACTGTCTGGAGCGGAAGTACTGGAAGTACTGCCCAACTATTTGCTTTCTCCTCTTTTATTTTTTAAAACCATTTACTTTTTAAAATATGTAAATAACACACTACTGATAGGAATATAAAATGGCCCAGCCACTTTGCAAAAGTTTGGCAGTTCTTCAAAAACTTCAAAAACACAGGATTACCGTATGACCCAGCAATTCCACTCTTATGCATCTACTCAAGAGAATTAAAAACATCTGTCTGAACAAAAACCTGCACACGAATGTAGTGGCTTATTCTTAAAAACTGAAAAGTGCAAACAGGCCAAATGTGCATCAACGGATACATGGTTAAACAGAACGTGGGTTATCCACACAAGCAAACATGTTTCAGCCACAAAAAGGAACATGCCACTCATTAACACACTCCGTACATCATATTAAGTGCAAGAAGCCAGACACAAAAGCTGTATTGTGTGATTCATCTGTATGAAATGCCCCAACAAGCCAGGAATGGTGGTGCAGGCCTGTAATCCCAGCACTTGCGAGGTTGAGGCCGGAAGATAACCATGAGTTTGAGAGTCTGAGGCCAGCCTGGGCTACATACAGAGTTCAGGGCTAGCCTCAAAAAACAGAACAAAACAGGCTCCATTAAGTGAAGCTAGAGAAAGAGAAAGGAGTTTAATGGCTGCCGGGCTGTGAGGAAAAGGGAAAGTGCCCCCTTCATGAACTTTGATGTGTAATTTATAGCTCAATAAATAATAACAAATAATATATCAAAACATCCAGATCATCCACCACCTCTTAAGAGTTCTTAAGTGGACCAGGGGAAACTGAGGCCAGGTGTAACCAGAACACTACCCGGGAGGTAACGCTGTACCACAGCACAATGAGAGCCTCCAAACTACATCTGACCCCCAATTCTAATCACTGCCATTTCGTGACATTGTGAGCTAAATAAGTTAGCTTAAGGGCTGGGGATTTAGCTCAGCGGCACAGCGCCTGCCTGGCAAGCGCAAAGTCGTGAGTTTGATTTCCCGTACCGCATAAAAACAAACAAACAAAAAAAAAGCTTGTGTCCCCAGTTATCTTTGGGGACAATTTACATTTTCCCCCACTCCAAAATGATGTGTGGCTAGCCGGCCACCACACAGAGTAAGCTGTTCCCCAACGCTTGGGTGGCAGATACAGGACTGACCTAGGGCATGGTGCTGGCACCTGGGGAAAAAGCTGGGATCTGCTGCTCCTCACAAAGCCGTTCTGCGTCCTCACTGTAACTGATCGTCTAAAAAGCCTTGGGGGTGGGGGAGGGCTCGTTTCTCCTGACTTATAGATGAGCCAACTGAGATGCCCCAAAGAGCAGCAACCTGCCTCAGCCTCCTCCTCCCAACTGGCACAGTTAAGATTATGACTTAAAGGACTGGGGATTTAGCTTAGGGGCACAGTGCCTGCCTGGCAAGCAAGAGGTCGTGAGTTCGATTCCCAGTACCAGGAAAAAGAAAAAAAAAAAAAAAAAAAAAAAAGATTATGACTTATGTCATTCTGAGACCAACTGAAATAGCACCGCCCTGTGCCCTGGAGGGAATCACACTGAGGGCAGCCCCTGCCTTAGGACTGGGTGTCCTTACCTCTGTGTGTCAGATTTGAGCCCACAGCTTGTGCTACATCAGTGCCTGTGACACTTGCCCTAGTGAAAACAAAGCTTCCTCCTACGGGAGCTGCTGGGAGCCCAAGGCTCTGCCCCTGTCAGGCAGGTTTTAATTAGACGGGAGCATGGGGAACTTGGGGGAGCTTTGAAAGGAAATATTCAGATGAGAACAAGATCCTTAGAGGGTTCCATTTGTTTACTGTGCCAGAGAAAATTTTCTATAACCGCGTACTTTCTGCCTGAATTTTTTTCGGCACTGGGGGGTGGGATGGGCTTGGAGGGACGCCAGAGATCCAACTAGGGTCTCAGGCATGCCCAGCTCTGAATCTCATCACAGAATGTGCCACTTCACAGGGCAACACTGACGCTCATTCCAGCGGAAAGAAACTTCAGAAATAAAGTCAAAGCCCCCAATAAAAGGGAAAGAATCAGTTCCCTATGTTCACGCAGCCAGTGCTGCACTTTCAGCATTCAAAAGCCTCACCAACCGCAGGGCAGGCGTGTCAGTGTTGCAACTTGGCAAAGCCAAGCCTGAAGAACATGCTAACCTTATGAAAGCACAGAGAACCCGTCGGACAAACAGGGCACACGCCCTGCGACGGGCTACTCTTTGGCCTCTTTTTGCTCTAGTTTAGCAGCATGCCTCAAATCTCTCAAAGGTGATGGACGGCTGTATGTGTTCTGCAGGAGGAGAGGGGCTCCGGCGGGGGTCTGAGGGGCCCCCTGTCTGAGGCTTACCTTCTCGCTTCCTGTAGATCCCAGCTAATGGTTTCCCCTGGCATTTCACTTCATGATGTGCAACTGAGTTCTCTTCCTGAAGGGGGGAACGCATTCCAGAGCATTTGTTTGGGCTCATGTAGGAATAGATCTTTGACTGCCCGGCAAACACGTTCTCCTACAAAGACAAAAGCGCATTTTGAAAGAGGCTCAAAAAAGAATATCCAGAGCATTTAAAGGGATATGAGGAAACGAGAATATAAAAGACAAAATATAGACTACGTCGACATCATCTCTCAAGGACAAGACGGCGGGAGGATGCCAGCCGGTTCTCAGGGGAGCACTGGCAAGTTTATGATCCTTCAGGTCCAAGTCAAACACTTTTTAATCCCTGTGAGCTGTAATGCTTGTCACTGAGGGGACATCTGGCCAGCAGAAGAACCATCTGTGCCCGCAGCGAGAGAGGTTGGAATGACCCAGGAAAAACTGGGAATCTAAAGAGCTGGCTGGGTCAGCCTGAGTTAATTCCCCTGGCGGATCGGCAGCAACAACTAGCACAGAATCTGATTAATCACTGGCTCCTGAGGTCAGCTGGGAGGGCTTATCGGTACTGAGCCCTCCGGCTCTGGGATCACCAAGCCCAGGGGCCGCCCAGGACTGTGGTCAGAGGACTGCAGGGAAGCTTTTAAGGGCAGAGGCTAGGGCGGCCACTGTCCTGCAAGCTACGCCTTGCCTTTACTGGCAGTGGGCAGCCGCGGGCGGTACAGGTCACTACCGGTGCCTCTGAGCGTGGATCTGTCCCCGAGACAGCACTGGCCACCCCACCGAAGGAGAGCTTCCCCAGGAACGCTGCAGGGCCCTGCTGCCCGGCGAGCCATTAAACACCGAGCCAGCGACCCGGTGACCTCGCCGGGCAACGCTAGCGGGTCCCGCACACCCTGGGAAAGCTGCCATCTCCGGGGATGCTGGGTCTCCGGGAGCACAAACGCCATCAAGGCACAGTGAAACTTTTCCGAGGTCAAACACTGCCTGCCAGGGGCCTGGCGGAGC